CCTATACCGGAATCAAACATACGTGATATTTATAGACTCCCTGGCAAATCTACGGGTCCCACCATCCCACGGCCGATTATCGCACAGTTTTCAACGGTACAAACAAAGCAATCGCTTTTATCCGCTGTACGGTCATACAATAAAGAGCAACGAAAAGAGGCCAAAATAAACACTGGAGTCATTGGTTTGCCAGGTAAAACTCAACCAGTGTACATCGCCGAACAACTACCACCTAGTATCAAGAAACTATTTTATCAGACCCGCGAGTTTGCCAAGAATAAATCTTACCAATTCTGCTGGATCTCCAACGGCAATATCTTCCTGCGTAAAGTTGAGGGTGACAAACAAATATTAATCCGTGCCGAGAAGTGTCTACAAGATCTTAGCAACAAACATATCTGACTATACCTTTTTTCTCTTATCCATCTAGATAACACAGTAAACATAATTTCCTTTGTTAATCTTATATGTATATCAAGACACAAACATTTGTCTCACACACTCCAAAACACACACCACAAACCACATAACACAAACCACACCATATTTAATATATATTATACACCCACAGCAAGTTACCGTTTTTCACACATAATGAAAAATAAAAGAATTTGTACTTTTCATCCAGTCCCCAGTCACTTACTGCAACAAAACAAACGTCATATACCTGCCTCACATAATTTGGTTGTATTACAAATCATAAATGGCTAACATAAATAATATTAACGATGAACTAGATTATATAAATCTAAATTCCTTTATTTGTAGTCCGGAAAACTGCGTCAATTATATCAACATCTCTAACAATAACATAACTTTATTACATTTAAATATACGTAGCGTAAATAAAAATTTTAACCAGCTAGAAGTACTACTAAATCTAACAAAAATCAAATTTGACATTATTATCTTAACCGAGTGCTGGCTCAACAAAGTTAGCCATCTTCCGGCATTAAATGGATTTGAATCTCACTCAACGAACACCAATGCTAATCAGAATGACGGAATAATAATTTACACAAGACGAAGTCTACAAAGTAACGTGTGGGAACCACATTTCAAGGGAGGCAACTGTTTGGTGTGCCAAATAGACAAAACCTTTGCCGTAGTGGCTGTCTATCGCTCCCCATCATTTAATTCTACAGATAATTTTGAAAAGTTCATAAATAGCCTTAACAATGTCTACGGAAATCTTTCATCGTGTCCTAACATCGCATCAGTAGGTGATTTCAACATAGATATAAGTTATAATAACAGAAATGACCGAAGCTTCGAGTATTTAGCTCTAAATGCCTCGCATGGGCTTATGCCTACCCACTTATTTCCCACACGTGTTGATAGCTGCATCGACCACACTCTCGTAAAAACTAAATTACCTATCACTACACTAGTTCTAGACTCACACATCACTGACCACAGACCGCTCCTCCTTTCATTCGCAACAATTTATCCCCAACGAAAATCATGCCACATCTCAACTAGCGTTAACTACGAAGCAGTTAGGTTAGAATTACTGAATGTTGATTTTACGGATATATACAAATCCAATGACCCAAATAAATCTATGAACACTTTTATAACCATTTTAACAGATGTTACTGCCAAACATACCAAACACACCAAAACTCCAAGAAAAGAAAGAATCATCAAGCCCTGGATCACCCCCGGGCTTATGAGGTGTATTAAAAATCGTGACAAGTTGCATTCAAAATCAAAAAAAGCACCAGATAACATTATCCAAAAATCACCTATACGCGTTATCGAAATTTTTGCAATGCGTTACTTCGAAAACTAAAAATTGCCTACGAAAAAAGGGAACTTGAAAAGTCAAAAAATAACCCCAGAGCTCTTTGGAACACAATTAAAGAAATAACCAACACGCGTAAAGTTAAAACTAGTCCTGCAGATTTATTAAAATTGTGTGATAGTCCTAAATCGTCCCTAAATGAGGTCAACCACTTTTTTAGTAATATAGGAAAAAATTTGGCGGGTAGAATATCGCCCTTTAGTGATACTCCTGCAACGTCATCATACAATCAATTTTCCCCCCCAAACTCTCTTGTGGTGCTGGAAGTAGATGAAACCGAAGTAGAGTCCCTCATCCTTCAACTACGCAATGACTGCGCAATTGGGTGGGATGGTATATCCCCAATACTATTGAAAGCATGCCGCGAGACTTTGACAAAGCCTTTAACTTTCATCTTTAACAGCTGCTTACGAAAGGGTATTTTCCCAGATGCCCTGAAAAAAGCAATAATCCATCCTATTTACAAGGGGGGAACAGAAGCTGTGTCAACAATTACAGGCCAATTTCGGTTTTGACAGCGCTCTCAAAGGTTCTGGAAAGGATTCTCAATAACTGCCTTAAGAAATTCCTCGAGAAGTATAAGATTATAGCAGAAAATCAATATGGATTTCGTGCCGGAGTTTCAACCGAGGACGCTGTGCTAGATCTGACGCAGTTTGTTGCTAGAAATCTTGACAGTAAAAATAAGTGTCTTGGAATTTTTCTAGACCTTTCCAAAGCATTTGACACAGTTTCTGTTCCCTTGCTTCTTTCTAAATTGGAACGGATAGGCATACGAGGAAAATCTTTTGAAATCTTTAAAGATTATCTTAACAACCGCACACAGAGAGTTAAAATTGATGGTGATTATAGTGACGAGGAATCAATAGGCTACGGTGTACCTCAGGGAAGCATCTTAGGCCCCACGCTGTTCCAAATCTATGTAAACGATTTGTGTAAAATAAACCTCCCTAACACCAAAATCTACGCCTACGCTGATGACACCGCGATTATAGTATATGGGAAAACGTGGGAAAATGTTAAGAGTAATGCAGAAGCAGCACTAATGGAAGTATTGAAATGGCTCAACGTAAATCTACTTACTCTTAACTTTGACAAAACTGCCTATGTCCCATTCTCCATACGCCAAAATTCCGCTCCAGACCGTACCTTCACCATAATGGCGCACACATGTCCACAATTATCATCAGCTTCGTGTGTATGCACAGCGTTAACAAGATCCGAGAGCGTACGGTATTTGGGTGTACAAATAGACGCAAGATTGCGATGGGATAAACAAATCGATGCCCTCACCACTAGAACTATAAGACTCATACAAATCTTTAAGTCCCTCCGGAAGTCAGCTGATCTTGATACACTCAAAATGGTCTTCTATGCACTATGTCAAACTGTAGTCGGGTACTGCATCACCGTGTGGGGTGGTGCCTTTAAAACGAAATTTCTCAGAGTAGAAAGAGCACAGAGAGCCATACTAAAAGTGATGCTACGGAAACCTTACCGCTGTCCTACAACACAGCTGTACTCAGATTCTAAAGTATTAACAGTCCGTCAGCTATACGTGCTACGGTCTGTTCTTAGAAGACATGCTAGCGTCCCTCGATCGGATCCAAACAAACGAACCAACCTTCCCGCAAGTACTCAGCACAAAACCACCTTTGCTAAACACCAATTCTACACCTTAAGTACATATATGTACAAAAATTTACAAAAGAAAATCAACATAGTTGACCTAAATAAATTTAATCTCAAGTCAAAAGTGACGGAATGGCTATTACAACAGGACTATTCACAAACAGAATCCTTACTCACATACATAACTTAATCGCTTAATATACAAATATAAATGCACGCGCACACACACATACACACACACACACACACACACACACACACACACATACACGTATTGCATGGTACCTCCTATATCTAGGCTATTCTATATTTAATTTTATTAGTATAAAGCATAAAGCACATGGTAGATCGACACAGTCCATTATTGAAGTAATCATAATTAGTCAAACACTGTCTCTTAAGATACAGGTTACCCTAGTTTAAGAGGCAGGGTTTATCAATATTGTGTACAGATTTTCTGCAACTTATTTATTGTAATTCTGATACTACCAATCAGGGCAAACTTTTGTACTACTCAGTAATATATTTTCATTAATTTTTAGTTCTTAAGTTTAAATCTGTATTATTTTTAGAAATAAATACATTATTATTATTATATGTATGTTTCTTTCCACTCACGGGACCACAGGGTCCCGGACTTTTGGAAGGCGTACGAGGGGCCGAAGCCAACTCGCAGAGGCCCTTTGAACAACTTTAATATAAGTGAAATGGGACATCAGCCGGCAGTTATCCCTGTATGCACTATGAAAGTGCACCCAAGGACAATCCCCGGTTGATGGAGGACTATTGCGAAATGTGGTAAAAATTTATAAGGTTATGGGTATGGGTTGCTATGGACTAGTGGATGAAAACTATGGAAATACTATGGCCCCTGCCCCTGACCAATATTGATACATACGGATAAACAGGCAGGGGGTGACTGGCAAACTCAATTAATGGGCCCCCGGAAACGGCCGCTAGCATGTAGCGACACGGGGGCAACATACGTTGAGCTGCTTGGGGAAGGAGAGGCATCCCACGGCTATCAGAGCAATCCCGGAAGTACGGTCAAGACCCCTACCAGCATCTTACTGAGATACATCCTTCCCCCGAGTCTCCTTCAACTCCTACTCTTGCGAATCTCCACTCAAGCCAGCCAATTAAGGCAAGAATGAGGTGAGAGGGCTTGTTCCTCATCAGTGTTCACTCCAGCTAGTCACGAGGACTTATTATTATTATTATTATTTATTCTGACTGCAGTATAATAAAATATCTAAAGTATGACGTTTTCATAGCAGCGGAGAAAGAAGAAGTAAGTAGGAAATCTTACTTAATAAAAATAAGTCGGGTTTTCCTTCCTGGCACTATAACTCCAGAACGCACGAACCTATTTTCAGTTTAGCATTCGTTGGAAAGGTCTCAGACTCCGTGAGGTTTATAGCGAAGATAATTCAGGAAAAATTTCAACAGAATAGCGGGAAAATCGAAAACGTAGCCATCTGGTGGCGAAACGGAGTTCGTTTGCTAATGATTATTACCGGAGTCGGGTTTGTTAGTGATGATTAAATAAAATAAGACTTACCAGCTGTAGAATATATTGTGCTGGGATAGAGACGAGTCAGTCTTAGGGCTTCCTTACTGTTCCTCACTGATGTGCCTGTCACCATGATCTTCTGGACACCTGCACAAAGTATATAAGGCTAACTTATAAGGCTTTACATAACACACGTTATTTCCTAATCCACGTACATAAAATAAATCCCAATTTCTGATGGACTTTGCGCTACGCGTGAATGGCATACGAATAATTATTTTTTATGCTGTGTTTACTAAGATCAGGAGAGGGTTGTAAGAAAAGAAAATTGTAGAAGTGTAGAGGAGATAATCAGAAAATGGCAACCCTTTAGGTGCCTTAACTGTTTGCTAATGAAACAAATGACTGGCAAAGTGCGAAGCTAGTATAATAAATCAATAAAACCTTTTTTACTGATTTAGAAGACCACACGGGAAAAACAGAGATTGTTGTTGTCATTCCCTGAAGGATATCAGATCATATCATCCTGGTTGTCTTCAAAGTCCGCGTGAATAGGGTAAACGTGATCCATCGTAGGTCGGACGCACCCACCGCGCAGGAGAAAATTCTAGTATGGGGCAAAGTTTTCAAAAAAAAAAGGCCTAATGCTATATGAATCGACGCGACGGCATTATTAGAGTCATGAGGAGGTAATGGAGTAGTGGCGACTTATCATTCGACGGGAAGAACGTCTCTGCCTTAGTTCCTATGTCCAACAGTAGACATTTACAGGCTGATGATGCTGACGAGGAGCCTCGAACGTCATAAGCTTGTCGCTTGCCTTAACGTAAAGCAAACTTGCACTAGGCTTTCTGAATGGAGTTAATTGGAATATTATTGTATTGTTCTTATATTAATTGTAATTGAAGTACCCTAGAAAATTGGTGATACAGAAAAATCATCACAAATATATTGCAGTTTGAAAAAAAATCTAGTCAATACTAAAGCCTTTTCTATACTAGATTAGAGTTAAATATTTTCTGATTATTTCTAATAAAAGCTTGGAAACCAAAGACTTTTTGCTAAACTAGATCAGAGGAGTAGCTGTGGAATTTATTGTTATTATATTCAACTATGTATAAAAGGAAATTACAGTACTTGTTTACTAAACAAAAATATGAAGTATCATTGTCTGCATGATACTTCATATTTTCATATCAGAATAAATATTAATAATAGCAGTAACTCTCTACTAAGCACTCAAATATTTATATAACTTTGGAATTTTTGTTAATTACATTAAGTTTCTGTTTGTATATTTAAATCTTTCCATAGTACAAAACAAAGTCACTTCCAGCTGACTGAAATACATGTAACTGGAAATAAATATATGATTTACTTTTAAAATAGCTACAGATAAAACAATAGATTTTTCATAGACAATAGTACAGATAAATGTAAACTGTGGTGCTTTGTAAACATTGTTATTCATTGATTACCTACTCATTATTGTTATTGTTTTTTTTTTTCTCATTCTCTGATTGCATTGAAATGTGATCATCATTATTATCAGCATGTGTCATGCCATCACTGAAATAAACTTCTGCAGTCATGAAATAGGTACTATGAAAATGTAATCATGTCTATTAAAATCTTTTTAAAATGCAACGGGTACAATTTCTTTCAAAGTAAAAATGTTTCTATAATTTATTACTTTTCTTTCTTTATCATTCTCTTTTAAATTAATTTTTAAGACATTTACAGTATTGAGAAATGTTAGCAAGACAAAAATTACCTAAACCTCTTTGGATGTTATTTTTTTATATCAATACTGGCCTTTCAGACGTCAATTTATTCCATAACAAATAAGCAACAAAAACCATGTAAATCTTTAAATTTTCAAACACTTCTGGATAAATCTAAACAATAATAAAACTATTCTTGATCTATAACAAAAAGTATGTAACAGTAATGCTATAAGCATTAGTCACTGTTTATTAATTTTAAATATCATTCCACTGAAATTTCCATTGTAAATTGTATGCTTAATGAAATAACAATATTTATTACTAGAAATTCCAAATTAATGAACACCACATTCGTCAATGAAATAAAATCGCTAGATCATATTTCATTTCATACATAAAAATACATCAAATTCTGAGCAATAAAAAATGTAGCATGACAATAACCCAGTAACTCGCGAGGTATTCAATGTGCAATCAGTCTAAATGAATAAATTATAACGCATGTCGGCATTGTAACACCAAATCATTTATATCACGCAATCACACATATGTTTTTTTTTTAATAACTTTTTACAATTATTACCAACCTGCATCTTTTGCCCTTTGCACGACAGAATCGAGATCACGGCCGTATTTCTTGTTCGTCAAGTTCGCGCCAATGTCGATTACAATAAGATTCTCGTAACATCCCTTCAGTTCTTCAGATATTTGGGTTTCTTCAGACGTCATCCTCGGTTTTGTATGAAGCTTATTATACGGTGTTTATCTAAAATTAAACGTGGATATCACTATTTTTTCTCAATGCTTTAATTTTAACGTGAGTTCTAGATTTACTTACAAATTGTATCAAACACTCCTGCTAAATAAGCTTCTAATAATTTAATGACTAGTCGAACGGTCCACCCTCTTCACTGAGCTGCCACCATGTTTTTGAAGCACGTTTTTATTGACACGACAGCGAGACACTTCAAATTGGTTCTGTCAAGTGTTGTATTCACTGAGCTTCTACGATTGGCTATTTATAATTGCCTGTGTTTCTATACGTCGAGACGTGTATGACGTCAAAATGCGATAAAAACGCACTTTGCGTTTAGTTTACGTGTCTTCGTAAAGTATTTGATTATCGGTGAAAAAATGAAAGAACTGAACAATGCAAAAAGACCAGCCGTTACGCAACAAATCTCAAAATCATTTAGTATCTTCAGGATAATGACTTAATTTGAAAAATCTGGTTAATTACACGACTACAACAAAACGTGGGATACATTCAGAAACCGAGGACATTTCGAACCTTTTAAAATACTCACTTAAACACTTTGTAAATGTTTATATGTCGCATACAATATTTCAAAATCTTTTTATTAGTAAGTCAATGATATGCTGTATTGTTTTATTATCAATATATATTATTATTTGAAATTATGTACCTAGTTTTATCATTAAAACATACACTTCGAACGTTCTTGGTAAATAAACGTCAATCAGCTGTGAGACTGACATTGATTAATCAAACTGCCACAACTTTTATGCGACAAAATACAAAATACTTTGACTTGAAACATTTTATACGCATTCATAGCCCTCTCAAAAAAGAGAATAATAACAATCTAGAAAAAACGCTTTGTGCGTAACCAAACAAAACGTAAATATATTAAAAAAAAACAAAATTTAACAAAATGAAGGTGGGATTATTCGTGAAAAAGAACTTGGTTGCCCTGATTATGGTACCTATGATTGTTGGGGCTCACTACGGGTGGTATAAATTACAACATGTTGACTCGTTGGTATCTGCCGAGGAGAGGAATAAACTGCCGATCACCAAAGTAATTATTGCCTAATTAACTTGCTTTTTACCTTTGATTTATTATTCATTAAGTGTTCATCCAATAATTTGAGTACCCATTACATTTCAAAATCTTGTTTTAACAACACTATCCCTTTCTGACGGATTTAAATCATCAAATGACTCCTCTTGACCTGGGTAGGTCGAGTGGTGGTGTGTCGAGACTCTTGCTGGCTGAAAACCACCCATGCCTCCTCCTTCTCCTGGTCCAGGGCGACAGCAGTACATGATTGAGCTCTGCAACACCGGCTGGAACCAACACTATCCCTATCAGTTAAAAAATCTCTATAAAATGAATCATTCAATGCAATGCAATCATGGTATGTTATGTGTGTTGTAGGGGGTGCTTATTACCATAATTATAGCTTTGTATATATAGCATTCTCATAGTTTATTTTGATTTCAAGCAAAGAAGCCAGATTCCATTTGGGATTGAACATATCACAGATGATACCTATTTTACACAAAAGAATCACTGCACCAATCACACAATCCATTTATAATGATGATGTTAGAATTGTAATGTTATATGTATACTTGCTTTGCCTTTGGCTTAACCAGTAAAATGGTACCAGGTACCAGGGTAAAAAGTAGTCTGTTATTTCAATACTTTGCAATAATATCTTTTCTCTTTCTTCCTTTAATGTTTATGGTGTCTCTAAATAACCTATGTCTATCTCTGTAACCCTATGTATCTCTTTCTGACCTCTGCCCAAAGCAGGAGAAGAAACGGGGGTTATTATTCAGTAAGAGTCTGACATACCCTCCCTCCCAATCCGGGGTGGAAGAATTGATTAGACGATTTTCCCCTCACAAAATAAGTAAATAAAAATCTATCTCTTTCTAATGTCAACATTTATTCAAGTCTATCCTTACACATTCACACATCTTGTCTTTATAATACTAGTAAGGCAAGTGAGCTCCTGCGTTTTAAAAAAATTTTTGTTTCTTTGTTTCAGGCGCTGAAAAACCTCAGTATATCTGAATAACAGACTCGCTCATAACTTTGTAAATATGAAACTTTAAATTTAAGAAAATTACATCATTGTTAAATTTAAGGTACCTAGAACATAAAAGTTAATGAAAATAGTTTAAAAATAATGCTTTTAGAATAAAATGTAAAGTATATTTTATTCATGTTTTATTTATTTTTGGTCTTGCATAAATCTGGAGGTAGTTTATTCTCATTTGTCCTATGAAAAATTGTATTAAATATAATGTTTTTGTTTTTCTGTCAACAACAATAACCAAATTATTTATGCTTTTGGAATGTGTCAGTCTCTTTTCAAGTCCAGACAATGTAAAATAACATAATGTGAGAGAACCGTGCAAGTTCATTCTGTAGTGGTCTTTTGAGGAAAGAACCACACCAGTTTAGTATAAAAAAACCTCAGTATATCTGTAATGAAAACTCCCCTTTTTTATTCATTGGCTATTGAGGACGGGGTTTGTGGGATGGAAGTGGTTTGAGCTTCTGGTGGTCTTGAATAACAAGACACAATGCAACTGTTTATTCACGTCGGTTTTCTGTGAGGCCGTGTCACTCAGTTCAAGCCAGCCCATCCAACATGCAAAAGCATATTCATACATATCGTCACACCCCTGTCTCTCATTAGGTTAGGTAGGTAGAGGGAATTAGAAGTCAAATCACATTATTCCGACATTTATGTTCATCTAGCGCACCTTCTACTGATAGCTCCAACCATACTCATTTGATAAACCTTTTTGGTAAATCTCCTAACATAGGATGAATCCTATAAACAATACAGTATTCCTTTTTTTTATTTAGGTATTTAAATCCACATTTTTCCCTAATAACTGTATTTTTTACTCTATCTGCAAGTAAACTTAACTTCACATATAAAAGTATTCATTTTTCTTTTCTGCCAAACCTGCTGCCTACATTTGTGTTGGCGCCAAACCTCAACTCTTTATGGCAAATTGAGTTCTAGTTGAGTCGCTCGCTATAGCAGAATGTAGGTAAGGCACCATTAATAGTGATTCCCTCTCTCCTTTTAATATCTCCGTCACATTAGCCGTCTCTGGTGAAGATAGTATTTCTTTCACGTTGTAATAAAGCAATATTAATCTGTTTTGGTCGGCGGCCATATGTACTTTATGCTTTGTTAATGTGAATGAAAAAACTCGTTAAAACTGGTAAAAACTGGTGGTTAAGCTGGTTAGGAACATAGGCTTCTATTTTTTCTTTAATTTATAAATAAAAACCAGTTCTGAATATGAAGAACATTTAATCACAACGAGGGTAGAATGCGCGCGCGCGGCGCTAGTCAGATGGTGGGCAGGTGACTCCTGGAGTCGAGCTCTGTCTTCTTGTTCTTGTTCTGCTGGTTTCGGTCCGTCACTATCAGTTGGGGCAGCAGGGGTGATGACTGGACCTGTAAATAGACAGAATTTTAAAAGAAAGAAAAATGACTTGTTATTTTTTTGAGCTTCATAGAAGAGGGCCGTAAGAAAGGCACTTAATGTCCGGCATGAGTGAGCATTAGTAATACAACGACCTCATAAATAGAATATAGAAAACTGGCGTGGTACAATGCCTGTGTTACGTTTCGCTGTGTGAGGTTCTTCACTCGTTACAATCACGGAATCAGAATGCTCAAAAACACCTTGTAATAGATATTCCTAGTACCTTTTGTATCCTGACATCCATAGAATCAAAGAGAAGGGGTTAAACCAGAATCCGCGTTCACTCATGATTGCATGTCGTCAAATGTGTCCAAAAAAAACAATACGTCAATCCCCCCGCCAGCCGCACTTCCCACCCGCGTAGTGTTGCCGACAGTGGAACAATTCCCTTGGTTTGGGGTAATTTTACAACAAGAGGGTAAGATATAGTTTTGTTGAGTAAACCCAACAAAAATAGGTAAACTTACTTCTATAAATGTTAATGTTAATTTTAGTTATACCTACTATACACAACAAATAAAACAAAGCTACAATAAGTGCGAAGGTTTTATTGCGTTCCCTTTTGCTGGTTTAGTTTTTTATAATATGTATTGTCCTTAGACTCGGAACTAAAGATTAGAAGTCTACTTACTTTACTTAGTTCCTGAGATTAGCGCATTCAAGCAAACAAACAAACAAACTCTTCAGCATTATAATAAGTATACATATATCTTGGTAGGAAATGCTGTTTTGAAACCACCTTTGTCATAAATATACATTATCTTTTCAAAGTGAATTGAGCAAACTATGCTCTGGTTAGATGGTTTCCAAAATTAATCTAACCGTGCTCTTTGTATGATTTTAATTTTTTTTGTTAGTCGGCAGGGAAACTAATATGACATAGGCTCCATAATGGACAAAAATATAACTCACAACAAATAAATAAGTGGGTAAAATTTTCACCAAAAATGACAACACTCACAAAATGGCCGCATAATTTTCATAGAAAAATAAATCGATAAAAAAATTCAATAATTAATTAAATATACTATTGCAGTCGATGCTTGCAGATGAAATGTAATCTTATCCACTTTTTTCGTAATTCCAGCCGCATTTTTACTCGTAGGAATAACACAAGACGGCATAATAAAATTAAAATTGACACTCGTAAATATGTCACGACATGCCACGTGCCTAAATTGACTAATCGTAGAAATTCCATTTTACTCTAGTTAAGAGTGGTTTTAGTTGCTTCAGTTTGAAGCGCAATGACGCCTTCTGCTTTGTTCTGTATTCTGATCTGTATTCTGAGGGTTAAATATTCGAAACAGTATCTAACCAAGTAAAATGAGTCCTGTACCGACTATCAAATACTCAGCAACTACATTAATAGATAAGTAGGTACTTTTTGCAATCAACATCAATATTTTAAATCTACCCTAAAACAAGAACCTAGTCACTATACTTATAATTACACTGTTAGGTTTGGGTTGATGAAATAAAACTAAGTTTATTTATCAAATAGCAGAGGTGGAATTTATTATTATACTTTAGGAGGTGTGTGTTGCCTGAAGGCGTTAGCAGAACAGAATGAGGGCGAGATGCAAACATCTCAGTGAGGGTTAGCTGGCCACTTAAGGCACTTATAATAGTGGCGTGAGAATAATGAGTAGATTGATTTTTGTTATTCCAACACGCCCCCTCAAAAATTAATCTAAAATAAAATTAATTACAATCATAGTATCACACACCATCCTTTATCTGGGGTACAATCATTCAATGGTCCAACATTCGTTGCATAGGATTAGGGAAACCCAGAAAAACCTAATCAGACCATGTTATACTTATTCAAAATCTTAACCTAGTTAAGTATTTAATACTATAGATTTTATTCATATATAAAATATTGTAATCTATTCTAGTCCCAATTTCTCTCTCAACTGGGAGAAACGAACAGTGGGTAACTGTTTCGTTAACACATCAGCCAACTGGTTACCTGTGGACACATAAATTATTTTAATAACATTTTTCTCAACTTGTTCTCTAGAGAAATGATATTTGATGTCAATATGTTTTGACCTTTTATGACATGTCGGATTATTTGCAATGCTTATGCAACCACTATTGTCCTCATAAATAGGAATCGGATCCAGTATTTTAATGTTTACTGGTTACTAAAGACTTTAACCATAGAGCTTCTTTACGGCCTCAAATAGTGCCATGTACTCTGCTTCAGTACTAGAAACTGCTACTGTTGTTTGCCTTTTTGTTTCCAACTTATAGTGCATTGCTCAAATAAGTTAAACAAATAACCCGTAGTACTTTTTCTATCCACTTCATCAGAACCCCAATCAGAATCAACATAACCACTTAACGGTATTTTATCTGAATTGCTCCGACGATAAGTCAATTTTAAATCAAGCGTCCCTTTTAAATAACGAAGCACTCTTTTTAAGTGTGACCAAAGTGCATGGTTGTTTTTTTAGCAAATCTACTCAAGACGTTTAGACTATAACTCAAATCGGGTCGAGTGCAAACCATAATGTAAATTAAACATCCGATAAGGTTTTTACAAGGGGCATTCATTGTTTCACACGAATTTAAAGCTTCGAAATCAACTTTAGTTTCAAGTGGAGTACTGACATGTTTACAGTCACTCATGTTAAATTTATTAAGGACTGTTTCTATATACAGTTTTTGGTCTAAAGTTATTTTGTTATTGCTTCTTTCAATTTTAATCCCCAAGAAACACTTTATTTCTTTCAAATCTACCATTTTGAACCTTTTCATTAAGTATTGTTTAAAGGTGTTCATGGTTTTGATATCTGCCGTTGCGATAACAAGATCGTCAACATATAAAATCACATAAATGTTTTTAGAAATATCACCTGCATCTAATATATACAGACATCGGTCAGCTGATGAATATCGAAAACCTTTTTCAATCAAGACTTGTTCGAACGTTGCGAACCAACAACGTGCTGATTGCTTTAATCCATATAACGACTTATTTAATTTACAGACCAAGTTGTTATCTGTACATGGGATTCCTTGTGGTACTTTCATAAAAATCTCTTCCTCAAGTTTCCCATTTAAAAATGCCGTTTTTACATCCATATGATGCACTAGCAATCTATACTGATTCGCGAATGCTAAAATAAATCTGAAACTTGCTATTCTTGCAACAGGTGCAAACGTCTCATTATAATCAATAAGATATTCTTGATTGAAACCACGAGCTACTAAACGCGCTTTATATTTTAATGGTTTTCCAGATTCATCATTTTTAATAGAAAATACCCATTTACAATCAATGATATTTCTGTCAATAGGTTTTTGTACCAGGGTCCAGGTTTCATTTTTGAGGAGTGAATTAATTTCCTCTTTTATAGCACTTTCCCATAAATGTCTATCATCCCTGGATTGGATTTCATCAAAAGATCTAGGTATAGAACATACTAATGATTGTGCATGCAGCAAATAATTATTTGATAGATCATCTTTACTGTCATCATAACACACTTTAGGTATGTTTTTAATCCTTTCACTCCTTCTTAGATTCGGAGATGTTTTATCATCTTGAGATATTGTCAATTCATTTGGAAATGCAGAGTCTGAGTACACATCTGTTTCACTTACAGATTTATTAGATGGTGGATCTAATGACATAGGTATTTCGAACGTTTGTCTCATACAACTATCTGATTTCATCTTATCAGATTTTTGCACCTCCCAACCATTGGAGTGCCCGTCAGATTTAATGGAATTTTTACTCACAATTCCTTCAGGCTTAACTGGCCTACTTGATAAGAAATTAATCTCATCAACTATTACATCTCTGACTTTCACAAACCTTTCGTCTACCAGTAACCACACCTTATATCCATTTGGTTCATATCCAACCAGGATACCTTTTGATGACTTTTCATCAAACTTATGTCTTTTTGTCTTATTCATAAAATAAACAGTTGAACCAAAGACTTTCAAATACTTAAGTTGCGGCTTTTTACCATGCCACAATTCAAATGGTGTGTTATCAACTCTCAGTGCTTTTGTGGGTGTGATATTTACTAGATAAGTAGCAGTTAACACAGCCTCACCCCAGAATGTTTTCTCTAATTTCGCACCGGACACCATAGCCCGACTGCGTTCCGTTAATGTTCTTATCATTCTTTCTGCTACACCATTCAAAGCTGGCGTATGCGGCACTGTTAAATGGTAGCTTATACCTTTTGTAACACAGTACTCTCTCATTTCTTTCGATAAATATTCACCACCATTATCACAATATAAATTGACAATACTCAGGTTAAAGTGTGCCATACTTTTTGTTGCATAATCCCGAAAAGCAGTAAAAACATCTGATTTATGAGCTAATAAGTATGTTGCACAATAATGAGTAAATTCATCGACAAAAACGACAAAATAGTTTTTGTTGTCAAGTGTCGAAGGAGTGACGGGACCCGAAACATCTGTGTGCACCTTAAATAGTGGTCGTTTTGTTACCTTTGGCTTTGATTTGTTAAATGGTAAACATGCTTGTTTTCCATAAATACAAGCTTCACATAAGTTGTCACATGGCTTAATATGACTTATTTTCTCTATATCAGAAAACATTTCTTTATGCTTTATTTGCATAAATTTTGATTTACTAATGTGGCCTAAACGTTGATGCCACAACTCATAGTTATTTACGACTCTATTTAAAGAACACACAACAGACCCTTCAAGTAAAAAGTTAATTCCAATTAAATTGTTCAAACACTCACCCTTTGTTACCAATGTCTTACCCGTGTCGAATATTTGTACGCTTCCATCTTTGCCAAAAATAATTGTCATACCAGCTTCTTGCATTTTCTTTACTGAAAGCAAGTTGTATGGAATATCTTTACAGAATAAAACATCCTGCAATATACCTTTTAATCCCAAGTTACTAATAACCGGTAAGTTTCCCTTTCTTGTAGCCTGGATGTAAGTACCGTTCTTCGCCACGGAGATATTTACTGGTTTTTCTAATTCTGTAAACTTTTCCGCTAAATCTGGCCTGTTGATGAAATGGTCTGAAGCGCCAGAGTCCAGCACAAATGTAATGGTTTCTTGGTTATTACGTTTTATGGCATTTGCTCCTACCATAAATGCAAATCCGGATATGTTTGGATCAGTTGTTTCAGTATTCACTACTTGTATTGTTCGATGGTATTCAGGCTTTTGAAACCGTTCAGTTGCCATCTTGTTGTAATAACAGTTTTTCATAATGTGACCTTTTCTTCCACAATGGTGACATTTCACGTTTTTAGATTTATAATTTCTTTTAAATCTGTTATTAAATAATTGTTGACCCCGTTTCTGTTGATGATAGGTCGCATTTGGGAATTTATTTATTTTTGAAAACGACGTAGTTTTAGCTTGTAATACTTTTAAACTTGTGTCTCGATTTTCATTGTTTAGTTTAATTTCGTGGTCTAGCAATCTAGTTTTCACGAACGTCAAGTTTAAATTTTCTTCGGCTAAAGTTTCGATCGCAGTAATAACACTATTATAAGAGTTGGGTAGTGTCATGAATAAATGCGTTATTTTATCGTTCTCATTTAACGTTGCTCCCGCCGATACTAGTTCGCATATTAAATCATCAAAATTTTGAAAATGCTTTACTAATTGGTCTTCTTTAAACTTCATATTGAGAAGTTGTTTTCTCAAAGTTAACTGATTAGATGTACTATTTCGCTCATATATCAAATCTAATTTATTGAAAATGTCTTTAGCTGAATTGTTCAGTAACTAAACCGAGTAAGGTGTCTGATAAATATTCTACCAAAATATTTTTCGCTATTTTGACACTTTTAATCCACTCAGTATTAGGTTCGTTTGGCGATTCTTCATCGATCACATGAAGTACATTAAGTTCACTTAATAGATTACGAATTCTTAATTTCCAAACACTATATCTTTCACCGTCGAATTGTTTAATGTTCCGTTTCAAGTTGGAGCTGTCCATTTTCACTGATTTTAATTTCACAGTATATTTATAAAAATAAAGTCACTTAAAATTTATTAATTGTCTTTTAAAAGTATTTACGATACTTCTAACAATTATTATTAATTACACTGTACTTTACTGCACTGCACTGGTGCACTGGTGCTGACTGGGCCCATAACCTGTTAGGTTTGGGTTGATGAAATAAAACTAAGTTTATTTATCAAATAGCAGAGGTGGAATTTATTATTATACTTTAGGAGGTGTGTGTTGCCTGAAGGCGTTAGCAGAACAGAATGAGGGCGAGATGCAAACATCTCAGTGAGGGTTAGCTGGCCACTTAAGGCACTTATAATAGTGGCGTGAGAATAATGAGTAGATTGATTTTTGTTATTCCAACATACACTCGTAGGTAGGTACTCATAACTTTCTACGATCGACACCAGTATTTCAAATCTACCCTAAAACAGTAAAACAAGGACCTAGTCACAAAATCTACTCGTAAAATAACATCATACTTTTGAATCCAGTAGCTCTTACACCACAAGAAGTAGTTACACAGCTATTTCTTTCTGATTTAGGTACTCTTGCTACTATTTATTTTTCCCCTTTACGGGTGTTGGGGATGGTGCGACACATATGTCCATAGTAACTGGCTCCGGAGATGTTTCTGGTTCACTTTTCTGACTCAAGTAACGATGCTGTTTGGAATAAATTAATGAACATAATTTAAGACAATTGACAAATAAATTAAAACTGTAGCTTTAGCTGTTGTGCTGAGCACGAGTCCCCTAAAAGAATTAACGTAGGTATGGACCTAGAATTATTAATCACGGCTTCGTCAATCAAACTATCTTCAATAGACCATTTGATAGGTACCTAAAATGAGCTTGAGATCTACCTAGTCTTGAAAGTACCTAGGAAACCCTCACTAAAATATGCTTATTTTGTTCACGCAATTGCGAAGAAGGAAAAACACCTGTAAAGGACCATACCTGCGCTCTTCTTGATTTTTCATACTCCTCGTGGTCTGAATGTGGTACTGTGAAGAGAAAGTTCTCGAAGATGGGATGCCTCAGCAGTTGCTCGCAGGTCCATCGCACCATTGGGTCTTTGTCTAAGCATTTCTGGAAGGGTAATGAGATATCTAATACTGTAATTGCCTCTTTATAGAGGAGACTCGCTTATAGTCAGTTACGTTTATCAAAGGAGAGTAGGGAAGCGAATCTGAGCTAAAACTGGATAAACGATTAAATCATTTATCCTATAGTTTTTTGAGGTACGAAAATAATCAAATACTTAAACTTCCTCTCGCCCTACGCAGGCGAGAGGAAGTTTCAAGATCTTACTGAATAAAATCCACTAAGTACGTTCCTTCTCGTCCTCCAGGCCAGTTTGGCCAGTTGTATTGCGCTTGTACCCACAACTCTAGGCTATGGATAAATTATCCGTGGAGACGTGTGACATGGTCAGTGTTACCAGCTATGTGTAACTAAGTATAACTTACATGCAAAAAGTCTAGCACCAGTTCGTTGGAGGAGTACCGCTGAGGTATTTTCTTTTGTAGTGGTTCCACTGAGGTTGGCTCCGGCAGCGCCATACCCTGAAGACCAAAGGATTAGCTAGTAACAGACTTATCTAAGTATTTCCACCAGGAAAATTCAGTAGCTTTCTATAAAATCTTTGGGCTGAGCGACTTCGAAAGCCTTGCATTCAGCTCATGAATATAGACCCTGGCTTAACTTGGAACTAGTCGAGCATTTCCGAACAGCCCAAACTCACCCGTACTTACATATATTTAAACCAATCAATAAAACAGTTTCTTTCTTACCTGAAAAAATGTATTTTGTGAGAATATTGTCATATGCCTGGGCAGTAGATCCCCAAGAGTTTTTCGTATTAAGTATAATTGGTCTAGGTCGCTTTTACCCGGCCACAATGCCTCGCCTGACAGTAGTTCCGCGAAGACGCAACCTGTAGAATATCAAAGCGCCTGATAAAATTATTATAGAATGCATGTGAGAATAAGCAGCAGGCGTAGACATAAAGAGAAAATTTAATCTAACTAACATTATAAAATCCATGGCTTCTTGACACATAACTAGACTGGTTTATTGTTATAATATTTCTAGACTGATATCAGATAATTGATATGTTGGCGGGGCCCATTGCTTACCACAATTCTTCAGCAATCCCTCTGCTCGTTTGCTGTCCTATCACATAGAAAAATAAACAATTTTTATGACCCCAATGTGGAAAACCCTCATGAGACCCTCTCGTTGGAAAAAGTCGAAGGGAATGTCAAAAACTAGAAGGTACATACCGATAGCCCACACGTCCACAGGAGTGCTGTACATGGTGTCGCCGACCAGCAGTTCTGGCGCTCGGTACCACCGCGTTGCCACGTAGTCTGTGTAGCTCTCTCCCGGACCTGGACATGTATAGTGAAGTATGCTGTTAGCTACTGATTTATGGATGTTTTTTATGCACGATGGTAGGCGATCAGCGCCGCTCATGGACATTCGTAACACCAGAACAGTTATAAGCGAGTTGCCCACCTTGTATTCTTAAATGCCTAAAATATATACCCATGTATATTTGAATATTTTTCTTCTATATGATAGGGCGGACAAATATCCTATTCGAGATAAGAAATGGCAAGCAATTGGTGCTGGATAACCACAAAAAAAAGTTATAAGGCCGTTGCCAACTTTTTGTAAGTTTTTAGAGATTTTAGAATTAGGAATGGAGGGAAGGGGAGGACAGGCCTCCAGTCGGTCATTGGCGAAGCACGAAGCGTGGCTCAAACTCAAGTAAAATACCGCTATATTAAGACCCAATAGGTACAAAAAGATTTCTGTAAAGGTTAAAGGTAAAGGCTGCGGTACACTGGTATACGTGTTCCATTACCCCGAATAGATCGTTCTTTGTTGATAGTTTGATTAATGGTAGAAGCGCCGTTAGGGGGCGTGGCGTACGTTTATAAGGCGGCCTTGTCTATTTATATCCTGCCTTTTAAAGTTAGCGAAGTTCTAAGATGACTTGCACTAAGGGAAATCTATTTTATTTGTAGGTTGTTACATAATTTTAAATCATGTAACGTTATTCCATTGCTATTTTTAGATGAACTTGGGAAAAACATTTTGCTGCTTCGTAAAGAATTAACTATTATGATCATTCTGATTCCCCGAGGGCAAGAAAATGGTTAAGTAGCGACCACGGACTGAAAGACGAAAGCAGGCTTCCCCCTAGTTACGTTACGATGTCTTCAGAGTCACCGCATGCCAGTAGTTGCAAGTGCCAATTTGTCGTTTAACGTGGACAACTAAGGGAGAAAGGGGGGTCTTCTAGCAGACCAAGAAGATGATGATTCTAATCATAAAAGTAATTCACGTCTCTTAATCCCATATGGGGATTAGCAGAACGTTTTCAATGTAGTATCAGAAATCACATGACACGGAGATGTCGGATTCTTTACAGGTCACACACACGCAGTAGCAATAGCGCTGTGCTGGATAAAAAATAACCCTGCAATGGTCTAGCCAGGACCTTAAATGTTCCTAAGGTTCAAAGGTATGCAAATATAGGTAGGTACGCTGCAGCGATTTGAAAGGCAGTTTAAATAACATCAAGTGCTTGAAATACCGTTATGTGTATGACCTTTAGATGACCTTGACCCAGCCAAAATGAGTGTTCGAGGTCGATGCGGATTTTATGGGTTGAAATGCGGTTTTATTTTAATACGTACTAAAATAATAAGAATACCTGAATACCTTAAAGGGTTAATCAGAACTTCAGAACAACGGTTAAGGTCCAAAAGGATATTTTTTTTATTGTAACACGAAGCAAAGCAGCTGACGTACCAGCTGATGGTTAGTGATCAGTGCCGTTCATTAACACCAACAACGCTATAGGAGTGATAGGCCCGTTGTCTGTATTTTAAAAAGGGGTTCCTTTGTTTCTTGAGGTGAGATACTCTGCTCGGAAGTGCGACGCTCTTCAATGGCCCTCGTTGGGCGCCATTTTGCATAATTGGGCGACGGCGAGGGTAGAACGAAATTTATACGTTCCATGATAGCTTTTTTCTAACTGTGATGGCATTATCAATACCCCTTTAGTTCTACAACCTTACTCTACATTTGAGTAGACTTAGCTGCGTTTGAGTAAAACATCCAATTTTACTTGGCGATTACAATACGTCATGCTAGAGAGATACATTAATTAATAAACGTTTGCGTTTGTTGTGGCCAGGAAAAGACTTTTAACGGAAAATGTTGGAAAACTCGTCAGGAATTTGTGCGTACCATCCCATACGATGTTGGAGCGACAGATTATTGAGATTAAAAATATTATATTATAATATGTATCACACGTACTTATCTATCATCAATACTAGCTAATATTAAAAAGAGGTAAAAAATGTTATATTGTATGTATTTGGAACCGTTAACTTAAAAAATTCTTTAACAGATAGATAGGTACAATGTTTCTAAGTGCTATAAGCCTATAAATTGCGTATTTGAGTCAAGCTATCGCTTTAAACGCTGCTGTTTTTATTAAAATACCGGGATAGATTAGGTACTTTTATCCCTTTTTTGTCAGGGGAAAGTTATCTAATGATTTCTCCCGCCCAGGGTAAGGCGAGAGAGAGTGTCAGACTCTTACTGACGAAAAACCCCCCCGTTCGTTCTCCTGCTCTGGGCCGAGGTCGCGGTGCCTCATTGTGCTTACCCCGCAACCCCGGCTGAACTACTCCGCAACCCCGGCTGAACAGGTACTTCTATTCCTACAAGTGCGAAGCCGAGGGCGGAAGCTAGATATATATACATCACTTCATCACAACGTCAGTAAGCGCTTTGCGCAATGAGTATATTGCAGTTCAAATCTGCGCGGGAGTGCATTGCGAAAAGTTTGACATTTGCTCTCACATGTGTGCCACGGTCATCTATAGACCACTTATTATAGCTAGATAGATATTTAAAATGCGTTAGTTATTATTCATTCATAGATGGAGTAAATAAAACCATTGAACTTAGCATTTTAATGTTTTACGTTGTTACGAAGTTGATAAACAAAACCAAAACTTGAGAAACACTAGACAGATTACGATATTATCTATTATTGGTTTTTGTCATTTTTATATATAAAAAAATCGTGTCACATGTTAATTTGATTTACATTCCGTGTGTATTTCGATCCAACTTGAAAGATAGGATAGCTTACATCTCAATTTATAGTCATTATCTGATTGCAAATTATTTGTCCATATGTAATATGACAAGAACCTTAGCCACAGCAACGCGTGGCTGGGTCTGCTAGTTGTTAATATAATTGTATTTATTTATAAAAATATCTAAACAAAGAAGTAAAATGGCGCTGAATCAAGCACAAAACCTATGTTCGTGATGCCAGTGATATCATTTTACTGTGTTGAAAATTAACACCTGAGCGAAGCAGGGCCGAGTCACTAATAAGAAATAAATTGAATTAACAATTTTCCCATCTCGAAAATCCCTGAGATTAATTCTTCAAGGACCGAGTGAATAGATTGCTGGATATCCGTGCTCCATCGTACATAGCATCATCGTTTACCTCCAGGCTTGATAACGGCTAAATGCCTGCCCATGACAAAATAAAAAAAAAACACATCTTGAGTAATCGTATAAATTCTTAAAAAAAAACTTATTTAAAATCGACAATCGACTTTCAACTATAAATCAAAGCTATAAGTGGACTTTAAGGGTCATAATCGATAAAGTTTTTCATGCTGACGTGCCGCGAGTAGTCTGAGTCATGCGAAGTACTGGTACAAGTATGTAACACACATGAATAACGTTATGAGACCGTGACTATCGTTAAAATTTAAATAATAAATACCGTCTGAGGGCCGAAGCCCGCAGTTATGTGGGTGGGTTCTGTAAAACCCAAGTTTCTAGGGATTAGAATCATCAAATGACTATATGGGCGAGGAGAGAGAGCGAGTGTCAGACTAACACCCGGTTTCCGAAAGGCCGATCAATGTTAAAATCATTTTAATCTCTTGTCAAGTCATCTGATTGGTTGACTCAATTATCAACAACCAATCAGATGACTTGACAAGAGATTTAACAGGAGATTAGTTAATTTTAGCGTTGACAAGCCTTCCAGAAACCGGGTGTTACTGACTAAAGCCGCCGTTCCTTCTATTGCGCTTGCCCCGCAACTCTGGCTGATCTGCCCTGTAGAGTCCCGTCTGTGGTGGTCCATTGACTCTTTGAAGCGCGCGTGGAATGCTAGGCGCTTCCGTACGCTTGGGTCTGATTCTGGACGGGCGGCAAGTTACCATTTTTGACATTATTGAGTTTGAACCTGGAACTTCTCCTTCGTGAAAAGCCAATATGTGAAAAAATGTTACTTAGTAGCCATGTCTATGAAAATCGGATGATTACTTGGGATCTACCGTCTCACAATTCTTTTGAATGTATGATTACAAAAGGAGGTCACCCACCTACATATTTTTTCTACTAAAATAGTTTTAACTGTTGTGGCATTAACTACAGTCCTAAATATCGGATATAGATCACTTAATTGGACTATTCACATTAAACATTCAAACTGTGACTATTTAACCTGCACTAATTACAATAAATTAACACATTACGAAATTTACCCTAAAATTATACTAAATTGGGATTTTTGTAGAGTAACTATCGTGAGACACATTTATTGGACATAACGCCATCCTCTCTTGAATTTACAAAAGCTCTACTAGTTTCCAGTCGAGAGCGTCGACAGACTAAAGCTAAAATGTTATAAAAAAAAATTACCTTATTGTTATTGGCTGCTTGCCATCCAATACAATACTAGCGGAAGGATGTATATACAAAAATACCAGCCTATACGTGCCCACCGCTGAGCAAAGGTCTCTTCTCACGCGGAGAAGGTTTGAGCATGAATCACCACGCTTGAGCAAGGATTCCTTCACCGCATGTCAATGGTATTTGCCAGGGCGTCTTAACCTCCGCGCATCTGGACCACCACGACATTCCCCACCACTACCATCCATACTATTATGGCTATGCAATACTCTGTACTCTAGTCTATTTGTCTCTTTTTATTGCGTCTGAAATAAATGTTTCTCTTTCTTTCCTAATGAACATTACGGAACTCTAAAAGAAAATTCTGAATGGCATTTGAAGGTAAGCAGCAAGAAATGTCGAGTTGAAGAAATAATTTTACATTATGTAATAGCATTTCAAGGCCAAATTACATAAGGTCTTATGGGAAATATTATTACGCAGCTGAAGTTGAAATCATTATAAAGTATTTCAAATAATTACAATTTGTTTCTTTCGTTTGCCGGAATTTCGGGTGAAAGCGCAAATAATGTACCGCGGCCCTAGTTCGTAGCAGGAGAAGGAACGGGTGGTTTTAAGTCAGTAAGAGTTTGACACTCTCTCCCGCCCGACCCTGGGCGGAAGAAGTCATTTGATGATTTCCCCCTACAAAAAAGGGTCTATTTGTACACACACCTACAAAAAAGTTTTAATTTGTAATTTGTATTATCATGATACATCCTTTATATCAAAATTTATTGCTGTTCGTTAGTCTCGCTAAAACTCAAGAACGGCTGGTCCGATTTGGATAATTTTGGTCTTAAAATGTTTTTTTAAGTCCGTGGAAGGTTTAAAAGGTGAGAAATCAAAAAAAGCAACTAAATAAAAAACATAGTTATGTTTAAGGCAGTACAAAGTTTGCCGGGCCAGCTAGTTACATTATACATTTTATATGTATATCATGATACATAAAAGTGTGTTACATTAGTTCTTACCAGGTTTCGAGCCCGGATCCTTCTGAGAAATACGCGCTTTAACTTGCGGGCAATCACGACTTCATATGGCATATAATCCAGCCCATACATAAAACGTTCTATTTTTAAATTTAGATATCCGATCCATAGACCTTAATATCATAAATGTTACCTACATCAAAAGAGGCCGATTAACGATAACTTTTCAGGCTGAAACTCGGTCTACATAGCTTATCGTTCACCTAGATCGAGTGCCGTTGGGTACCATAATGACCAAGCTGTCAATAAGACGCTTTAAAATATAAAATATGTATATTTTATTAGCGACCCGCCCCAGTTTTGGAATAGTGCAATAATAATAAAGCCCGCAGGGCACCTTGAGGCGAGGTGACGGGAATTAGCGATCCCGCGGGCTACCATCATCCCGATTGCTCCAGGGAGGAGTCACCGTTCCTTATCTCCGGCTTGCCTTTATTGGCTGGCTGGAGTGAACGATGACGAGGAACAGGTCTCCCGCCTCTGGTTTGCCTTCATTGGCCGTCCAGAGTGGAGTCGCGAGAGTAGTGATCCTGCTCGGAGGGTGGAAGCTGTTCGTAAGCGGCGAGTGGGCCAGTGATGCAGGATGCTTAGGCAGATGCAGATGATCTGAGTAGAAAGCTGGTGGCAGTTTCTTCACCCTTCAGCCACTCACATTTCCGTTGTCCCTCTGTTGCTATTACTAGCAACCATTCCCGGGGGCCCGGTCGGTGAGTTGGCGAGTCTCCGCCTGCCATTTTTACGTGTATAAATTACATTGTTTCGGCAGGTGCCATAGTCCTTCCATAGTTCCCATCATACCGGTCCAAAACAACCCACACCCATAGCCATACTTGCTTCCATTATCCGCAATAGTCCTACACTAACCGGGGACTGTCCTTGGGTGTATTTCCATAGTGCATACAGGGATAGTCGCCGGTTAGTGTCCCATTTCATTTAGATTAAAGTTGTCTAAAGGGCCTCTGCGCAGTTGGCTCCGGCCCCTCGTACGCCTCCCAAATGACCGGGACCCTGTGGTCCCGTGATTGGTAAAGACATACAAATAATAATAAATATAATAATAAATAATTTATTTCAGAATTGCTTCCATAATTTGTTAGTAACAATGTTCTTAGCCTAAGTTAGTACCAGTATAATAAAAATGAAAACAAAACAAAACAAAATCAATGAAAATATTTTAGGCACTTGCTTTCGCGTGTAAGCCTATACAGTGCGCTATTAGTACGGAATCCCACCGGCCTCCGCACGCGGCCAGGATGGCGCTGGGGCTGCCGCGCACCCGGGACAATAACGATGCACTTCGCTTGCGTATGACGGCGTAAAAGCCGTCCACGCGCGCCTCTGCGAACATACCACTGGCACTACAATACCGCGGCAGCCCCATCAGCACCCTGAACGCATTGTTGTATTGCACACGCAGAGCGTTGTATGTCCTCTGCGTGTATTTGGTCCACAAACTGCATGTGTAAAAGGTCTGACAGAAAGCTCTAAACAGTGTGACCTTCACTTGTTCAGTACACCGTGCGAATCTGCGAGCCAACATGTTACAGCGAACAGACAACGCCCTGCGTTCCCTCTCCACATCCATATTATCTTTCAGATCCTCAGTAACCCAGTGGCCCAGATACTTGAAGTGAGTGACTTGGTTCAATGGTGTACCATAGAGTAAGACGGGAGATACCTCTGTGACCTCTTTTTTAGGTGCTTTAAAAACCATAATCTCACTCTTTTTTACATTGTATCTGAGCCCATGGGCCTCCGCATACTCCTCACATATACTCAGCAGCCTGCGCAACGCGCCGATTGAGGGGCTGAGCAGCACCATATCATCCGCGTAGCTTATATTATTTACGCAAATCCCATCTATGTGACACCCGATGCCGGTGCCGCTCAGCTCACCAATCAGGCGGTCTATGTATAGGTTAAATAACTTCGGTGAGGTCAACCCTCCCTGCCGCACCCCACACTCTAACCTATATTCCTCCGACCTACTAGCCGCCCACCTAACAGCATTATTCTGATTATTGTACCAATACTTAAATAATGATACAACTTCAGGGGGTAGACTAGTATCGTGATACAATTTAGTCCACAGGAGGTCGTACGAGACCAAGTCGAATGCCCTGGACAGGTCCAGGAAACATGCGTATACTGGCGTTTTACGAGCGGTGTAGTATTGCACAGTCTGCTTGAGGCACAAAATCGCACTTTCAGTGGATAGACCAGTTCGAAAACCAAACTGGCCATCGTGCAGTTTTATATGTTTCGTTAAATGGCCGTCAAGCAAACTGTCCAATACCTTCGCTATAACCGTGGCTAAGGAGATTGGCCTGTAGTTAGACCTGTCCGAGACATTTCCGGTTTTGTTTTTTACAATTGGGACAACAATGGTATACATGAGACTATCAGGCAGGTAGGAGTGGCTAATGCACAGATTAAACAACAGAGCCAGAACCCTAGGCAAGTGTACCCCAGCATATCGCAGGTGCTCTATGCTGAGGCCATCATGACCTGGAGATTTTCCTCTTTTCATAGATTTGATAACTGTATCAATGTCCTTTGCAGTGAACTTTACATTCATATCTCCAGGTATGGCCCCAGCATCGGGCACCGACATCATCTCAGACCGCGCACGGTTCACAAACGGCTCAACTCTGAAATGCTGCCGAAATAATCCCGCGATGGCATCCGGCTCGCTTTCACCCTCAACGCTCACGGGCCGGCTAGGCTTTATATTCAATTTGTTGGTTGATTTCCAAAATTTTGAAAAGTTATGCTAATACGATATTGCTTCACCATTTAATCGGTATAATACATAAAAACCTTTCTTATCAATCACTCACCGCCAGTTTCTGAAAGGCTTGTCAACGCCAAAATTAACTAATCTCCTGTTAAATCTCTTGTCAAGTCATTTGATTGGTTGTTGATAATTCAGTCAACCAATCAGATGACTTGACAAGAGATTAAATTGATTTTAACATTGATCGGCCTTTCGGAAACCGGGTGTATATCTATTAAAAACCCGCATCAAAATCCGTTGCGTAGTTTTAAAGATATAAGCATATATAGGGATATAGGGGCAGAGAAAGCGACTTTGTTTTATACTATGTAGTATGTAGTGATAGGAGGCGTTCCAGTTACCTATAACATGCGATTTGACGCAGCGAGGCAATGTTTATGAGATAGTTAATAGGCCGATGCCCTTTTTTAGTCAGGGGAAAATCATCAAATGACTTCTCCCGTCCAGGGTTAGGCGAGAGACAGTGTCAAACTCTTACTGACTAAAAACCGCCGAGGCCGCGGTGACTCGTATTATTATAGTTACGGTCGGGGTCGCGCCCACAAGCATATTATATCCTCCGGCCCCCGTCTGGAGCAGGATGAAGAAGCCCTCAAGTTACGGAACGCCCCACTTAGGGTTAGAGACACGTAAAATGATGAATATCATTTACCAAGTATAAGTTAAGTAGGGTATTACCATTACTGTAATTTTCTTTCATAAAGTGATATGAAAGCAAACGGATTACCCTGATGTTAAGTAATCGTCGTCGCCAATGGACGCTCACAACACCTGAGACGTTGAGAGTACGTTGCGGTTGAAGGGATTGGAGATTTGGGGAGCGAAAGGCGTGAAATAACCATACAACGGTATTCTGTGAGACCGTTTATCATATAATCCGGTTTTAATTTAAATTTAAATAGTTAAATAAATTCAGATTAAATAAAATTACCTATAGTACGCAATTACATTAAAATGTATGTATACATTAACAAAATGAATGCAAAACAAAACAAATGCAATCGCCTGACCTTTTGTCTGACTACACATTTGAATTTAAATGAAATAAATTAATTAAATAAATGGGAGTGTCGGCGTCGATTTTTTTTTATAAGTTTACCGTCTTGTAATCAGGTTAACAAACTTGGAATGGCATTTTTCTAGGTACTTCTATAAACTTTTAGGTACTCATACATTCATTGTTTCACTTCAAATTTACCTATGTATATTGGTTTTATTTGTAGTAAAATACTAAGAATTTTAAGTTTCAGGCAGATTTAACACTAGGTATGGAAATTAACGTTTAATTCTTTTCTGCTGTTAGTTTTTTTATCGGGTAATATAAAACAAATTTAAATTTAGAAGAGGGAGGTCACTACATTATTCCTGGGTATAAAACAATAAACCAAAAATGACGTCACATAATATGTCGACCGGCTTCATCTAGTTTTTTACGTATAATGTTGAAGTGTAAAAGTGCTGTTTTATGGCCTATTTACAAAAATAAATTCATTGTTTCATTGAATAATAATATGTTTTTACATTAGTATAGTGAGTAAAATGTAATATAAAAGTTTTTTTTGTTGTCATTTCAAAATCATATTATGATAGATTCGTTGTCATTAAAAAAACTCACGAGTACGCACGTTTCTTGAAGGTTTGAAGGTCGTATCGGTTCGGAAACACCGTCGGCGAGAGATCATTCCAAAGTTTTGCTGTGCGAGGAATAAAGTTTCGCGAAAATCGTACAGCCATCTCATTATTTACTGCCAACCATCTAAGATATGATGGGGATGACGATCAAACCGAACAATTCCTCAGAACGCTCCCCGTGGTACAGGCGATAAAAGAGCGAGGCTACTTCCCTACGCAGTGGCAAAGAGACTAGCCGCACTGAGACATCAGGAAAGTCAACGATTTTTCTACATTTCAATGGATGTTATTATCGCATGTAAATCTTCCTCTTCAATCACTCTATCTATTAAAAACCCGCATAACATCCGTGACCTAAAATGTAAACATACACAGGGATATAGGGACAGGGAAAGCGATTTTGTTTTGTACTTTGTATTGATAGCGACTATAGTTTCAAGTCAGAACGTTTAATTGTTGGAGAGCCATGCATGTTTTTTGTTTTGCTGAGTGAGGTTACCGGAGGCACGATGACTCTCCCATGCCCAATCCTTAAAACCAGACCATGGGTGGCGCTGATTGCTTAATATCAGGAAATTCATCTCCTCGCTTGCCGACACATGTATCTTAAAAAAACAATAGGACTCTTAATTACGAGTAGTTTACGCGTCGCGGCGACTTCGCACTACTGACTGGTCTTCAATTCTTAGCTAATTCAAGTAAGTAAGTCGTTATTTCAATTAATTTAGTATATGTCCTGATGTTAAGTAAAGTAAGTACCTACGATGGTTGATACTACCGCACTACCTTCACTTTACTTTAAATAGAAAAGATTTGGTTGATTGTTTGAATTGATTACGCTGAAACTACATAACCGATTTGAAAAAATCTTACACTAACGGAAAGCTACACTATCCTTGGTAAACATATGTATACTACGCTAGTGAAACAGCTAAGTTATTTACAAAACTGACAAAAAACATCAAAATTAGATAGTTACTAGCTCTCCTGCGGACGTCCACTCCGAATGGGATCATGGTATGCACCGAGTACTCCGAGGAACAGCTTCCACCTGGATAGGGAAAGGATATAAAGGATAGGTTAGGATCAGAAGTAGGGATAGGTGAGTATTGGGTCTGGAAATCTAGCGACATACTTAAACCATAAGGAAACTCGTGCACTTCACAATTCTTTCTAAAAAAATGTGAAGTAAAAATATTATTTTCATATATAATATACCCATATTTAAATCAAAGAAAACGAAGGTTGATTTTAGTTAACTACCGATCGGCTTCTGAGCCAAGGCCACCATTTAACAGTTTTAAAATTTCGTTATAAAAATATTTATTAACAGACGTAATTTAGGAAGGAACTACTAAAACGTGGGAGAGCCAGATGCCGTGCTGCGTGCATGGATAAGCTGCTAGTGATACATTGTATCATATAGCACCAATGACGTATTATATATAGACACGTCATGAACCAACATCGCGGCGCTTAAAAACGGCGACAATACTAGATAACTACTTCTACGAGTAAAGAAAGGGAAAGAAAATATGACATCGTATAGTGGAATGCCTTTGCTAGAGGGAGATAAATATACATCTTCAGTTATGCCGACGGCACGTGACTATACCTTCATGCGCCGGCCGCCATAAGATGGCGGGCGCCGGCGTCGAAAAAAATAAAATAAAAATAGGTTTTTTGGTGAACTTACGCATGAAATGACACATTTTTGTCTTTAACTTTTGGAGTATAATTTGTACATCGTCTGAACACACACGACGACATGCTTTCTTTGTGTTTCGCACAGGTTTACACACGATATAAATTAAACAAACGTAGCGTCGCGCGGCAGGTTGGTGCGTAACTAAGCGCGATGTTGTCAATTGCCTTCATTTCATGTTGTCATTTTAGAGCGCGGACAACGTATCTATAGTTTTATACATCATTGTATAGCACAGCAAACCTAAACGTTGTTTTTGTCGTGTGAGTGTGAGAAATCCCATCAAACCCCTAATTTCCAAAAGGCCGGCCATGTTCTTGTAACTCCCTCTCCAATGACTACTAATTAGTGAACAATGAATAAGAAATATACGCACTAATCATTCTCGCGAAGCCAAAATCGCAGAGTTTGACGACACCCTCGCTGGTGAGCAGTATGTTCTCCGGCTTGACGTCTCTGTGGATGCAGTTGTGTCGGTGACAGTACGCCACGCCCTGCAGCGTCTGCCAGATTATCTGCTTCGATAGAAGTTCTGGACAGCCCTGGAAGAAGGACTTAGGTTAAAAAAAGAAAGATTCCTATTTACATGCACGGGACAACGCAGATTAATTATTATGTTTTCGGCTTACTCACGTAATAATTTGACGAGATACTCGACTAGTTTCAAGCCATGCTAGAGGCCCATATTCATGAGCAGCATTCCGCGAAACGCGACTCGGCGACTGTCCTGTCGCCGACAGTCGAGGACAGTCGCCGAGTCGAGTAAGCCGTAAACATAATAATTAATTTACAACGCAGATTATCATCATAACCAGTCTATCCCTACCCCATTGCCAGCCAAAGGCCTTTTTTATATAAAGAAGAAATGAAGATTCACCAGGACGCTTGCTTGAGGGTTTTGGTACTAGAAACACATAAAGAAGACGTAAGCTGCAGTTACAAGCGCAACAATGCACCGCGGTTTTTAGTCAGAAAGAGTCTGACACCCCTTCTGGCTCCACTAGAGCGGGAAAAGCCATTAAATGATTGCCGCCCTCAAAAAGGTTCTCATGATGTTCTCCTTCATCGTTTGCCAATGGTCACTTAATAAAGTTTATTGAGTTCTTTAGATATACTGTTCTTTTAGTTAAAGGAACGTACAGCTCGGTGATTGAAAACCATTTTTTGATTGCACAAATTAATGGAAAAGAACAAAAAACATATTATGTATGACAACGTTATTTAAATTATTTACTGTTAAGAAACTTTCTAAAATCGCACCTAATATTGAGGAATAAATATTGCGTTACACTATCAATACGACATCGACCTTTCTTCAATCGCATAATCGTAGCCGCGTAGCACTACTACGCAACTCGCTACGAATGTCGAATGTACTACACGATTGATTCAGACGAATGCTACGCGCTACGAACATTTATTTAATTGGTATGCAGCGTGGTGAGAGCTCTGGATATGCAACCTAGAATAGAAGGCGTAGTGCAGGATACAGAGACTGCCTATCTTTAAACCAACCATAAGATGCCAAATTGGATTAAGTGGATTGAAAAAAAGACATGCAACAATATAATTATTTATTAAAAACATTATTTATTTTCATTCATAAATATTATCAGGAATAAAAATTGTGCATGACTATATGTAATCCCTAGTTATAAACTATTCGTAGAAAATCGAGTACTAACATCAAAATACAGGTTCGTTCACACAGCTCATTAGGAGTGCGGTCGTTGCATGCCACAGTGGGTAACAATGCGGTTAGAACATTACTTTAACGGAGACCATTACCCAATCATTAAAGCTTTGAAAATTACCTATCAACGTTCAACTGCAGCCTTTCATGTTTCATTGAAGCTGTTATTATTGTAATATTAATGTGGGTATCGTTTCGAAAGTAATTTGTGAAGTAATGTTTTAATTCTTTGAATAATATTGGATATTTTGTGTTATTTGGGGGTTATTTGGGTAACATAGGTCTCTATACATACTTTATGGAAATACTAGAGAACTCTAGTTTATGACGTTTGGTGCACTGATTGATCTGCTGCTAGTAAATCAACCAATCAGAAATCGCGTTAACAAACTCATACTAGACACTAAGAACCGATTTAAATGGAGCTTGGTTCACAGACGTAGTATTGCAACATCTTAAAACTTAGTTATGAACAATTTCAAGAAAAGTTCACAGAAACAAACATAGAGAACCTATTTTAACGTCTGTTCATTTATTAATTGTATCCAAAAATTCAAATAAAACTAAAATATCTGAATAATTTGTATTCTTTATACTTAGAATGTAATCGTTAAAATTTGTACGCTGTTCTTACTAACAGCAGCAGCAGCAAGGTCACTATATTTTTTAACATCTTAAATAACAACATATACTATGTTTTGTTTCTTGTGTATAGTCGTGTTTTACAAATACATTATCGTCCATACAAACATAAAACTGATAATTCTAGTTTTTTACTTACGTATTGGATGTAATATGATATTAATTATTTCATCATCAAGCATATTATCTTCACAGACATTCAATTTGGCAAACCAAGAGTTACTATATCATACCTGACAACCTTCTACATGTATGGCAAAAAGCCCAACTATCCAAGGTCTCCAAACGTGCCCGGAAATGGACTAAATATTTTCTTTTTAATAGTTCGAAGAACGAAAAAAGACTCAACATACTTACGAATGTATGTAAGCATAAATGACCCAAAAACTGATTTAATTATTCGCCTAAAGTTCGTTTGGCAATGCTCTATTTTTTTTTAATTTTTACACAAGGACGTTTTATTAGTTTGAATGAAATACGAATTGTTTAAATTCAATAAATATACTTACGTACAACTTACTCAAAAAAAAATATGTGGCTCGATCAGTGAAACATACCTCAGATGTTACTACTATATACATACTTCTTACACAGTGAAGGTTTGAGCATTAATCACCACGCTTGCTCAAGGTGGATTACCGATATCAAACTTATAATTAGACATTATAAATCCCGAATTTACTTACGATGATTTCCTTTACCTAAAAAAATCGGTCTGTGGTATCTATGAACTTGAAAAGTACATATGACTCAGAATTAGTCACATTGGTACTTGCCAGATTTCGAACAGGCCTCCTCATTCTCGATAGACACGTACCTACGAGAAACTTAGCGTAATATCTTGTATAGGGGGCAGACAGATAAACTGATAGACTCACTCACCCATCTATCCATCTCTTGTTAAAACGGCCATATCAAAATAAGTTACATTAAACTGCGTTACCAGCCTTGTGCGTGCTATAAAAATCCAGAACTTTCTTCACGTGTACTGTGACGTCACAGCTCGCGTGACACTATCACGCTGTCTCGTCTACTCACGTGCAAACAACCTGACATACCTTGTACTTTTATGTTAAAATTAAGTAAACAAGTTAAAATAAAATGCTTTGGAAGAATTTCACTTTTTGTCGTTGAATATTTAAAAATGGTATCCTATCATGACGAATTTACGAATAGCAAAAAAAGAGTTAAAAAGTAATTATAATAAAAATGTGGAAAGTAAGTATGTTAGCGCACCCATAACACACTAGGAAATCCTACAGGGGGCAGGGAGTACAACGTATTAATAAAAATAACGTCTATAAAAGTGAAACTCTTAAACTTTTGTCCATAAACCATCGAGTACTTTCCCGGTCACGTTATGGTCAGTTCTAAATTCTATCTAAATGTATAGATGAATAGATTTAACGGCTACTGAAGTAAACATTCTAGTCTAGTTAAGACAAACTAACTTCAAAACAAGTTGGCGAAAGGCCTGGAGAAAAAGAAATGAAGACTGAAACCATGGTTTTGACCCTCAACCCAATATTCACCCATGAAACCAATATCACCTTAAAACTTCAAATGCAAAACACATGTTAAAGCCTAAACCGTATAACAAAGATAAAAATACATCGAAGCTCGCGATAAAATCGATCGAGGACTGCTTTGCCAAAATAGAATCACGAATCGACTTTTTTATTTGTTTAGCATTTGAAGTTGTATTGAGGTTAGCAAACCTGTTACATGTTTTAAATTTGTCGCCTTTTTCGACTACTATAGTGTAGCATAGATAATATGAAATGGTCTATGACCACCGTTCTATACTCTGTGCCTTTTGCGCTTGTCATCTTTCTCTTTGCAATACGCATCCATACAAACATGTTGTAAATTCTCAAGCTACTAAATAAAACTATTTATATCTTTCAAATCGTCGTTTAATTCATCAGGTTATGGGCCCAGGATGCTGAAACATTGAAAGATAAATTAAATTCCGTGAATAGTTTTGAGATTGCATATAACTCACTTTGCAAACCGGCCTGACATCGATTTTTCTAGAAAATTATGGGTTCGAACAACATGAACAATATGACCCTGATAGAAAGATTGACCGGCAGAGATAATTTTGCAAGCTGGAAGTTCGCAGTCAAGACGTATTTGGAGCATGAGGATCTGTGGGAATGCGTATCAGGCACCGGTGAGGTCGATCTAAAGAAAGACGTCAAGGCGAAGTCAAAAATAATACTTCTAGTTGATCCCATCAACTATGTCCACGTTCAGGAAGCCAACAGTGCTAAAGAAGTATGGGAAAAGCTCTGTAAAGCTTTTGATGACTCGGGGCTGACACGTCGAGTTGGATTGCTACGAGACCTCATAACGACAACACTAGAAAATTGTCAAAGTATTGAAGAATACGTGAACAAGATCATGACTACGGCACACAAGCTTCGGAACATCGGGTTCAAGGTCGACGACGAGTGGCTAGGCACGTTGTTACTTGCGGGACTCCCTGATGAATACAAGCCAATGATTATGGCAATAGAAAGCTCCGGTGTGGCCATAACAGCAGACTCAATTAAAAGTAAACTGTTACAGGAAGTGAAAAATCGTGATCCAGGTGTATTCTTTGTAAACAAGAGCAAGAATAATAAGCAACCTATCAAACAAAAGTCAAAAGGGCCAAGATGTTATACTTGTAACAAGTACGGACACATCGGCAAAAACTGTAAAGTGAAGAATAACAAGAAACAAAGTGATAACTCTTTTGTAGCCGTTTTTTCAGCAACATCTAGCTATGATTTCGGATGGTATGTGGATTCAGGCGCAGCAATGCACATGACGGCTAGACTTTCCTTTATGGACCGTCGAGTTGAGCGTTCATTTTTTTTTTGTAGATAGTACACATTAACAGAAGGCTTTTTACCAATTTTTATGTTGCGGAAACTCACGGTTTACGAGATATAATTATTTAAAAATTGTAAAGTCTATTGAAAAATTCACGCCAAATTTGACGTTTCGCGTGTTGTTGACTTCTTTTTTTTTTTTTTGGAGTATTCCTATTGAATTTAGGTTATATTGAAATAATTAATACATTGTCTTTTGGCATAATGTGCTACAAAAGTTAGTGACAGAAATGAATTGCTGCGAAACCGACTTTACGTGGTCTCTTTTCTGCCCTACCCCGAGAGTGTTTTTTAAATTCGCGAAGGCGCGGAGGGGCGGGGCGGCCCGCGAGCTGAGGAGCAGGTGGTTATAACGCACATCGCCGTGGCTGAGGCTGGCCGGCGAAGCCGGCCAGCAAGCCGAAGCCGCGGTGATGGGCGTAAAACCATCTGCGACGATTAGCTCGCGTGGGACCGCCGGAGCCCCGCAGCGCCGGAGCCGTGACAGAAGCCATGCCTGCTGCATGTTGCAAACCACCCAGAAGTAGGAGCCCGCGTCGACTTTGCCTATTAAGTGACATTTTGTGTTTTGAGGTAAGGTTATAAAAAATCGTGTTTCTCGGCAACTGTGAGTTGCCTTGTCATGGGAGTAGTACTGGGGGAAGGGGGCATCCTCCCCACTGCGGTACGATTCTAAAGTTATACATACATACATACAAACTATCCGAAAAATCTTTCCTAACCTCAAAATTTTAACAAACTTTGACCATGGATATCTCCGTAACCATAGGGCTCCGCGGGGTGGGGATGGGCCTGGGGGGTAGTCCTCTAACTCCCCCTCCCCCCTCCCCCCATTTTGACCCCAAAATCGACGGTCCATAAAGGAAAGTCTAACCTGTAATGTAAAGTTTGACTGTAAAGGTTGTTATTTGTATAATAAAGATAATGTTGAAGTTGCAATGGCA